AATGTTTCGAGCGGTGGGATCGGTTCTGAAGAGGAACAAGGAAGCTTTCTATGGAATCGCTCGAGGATCCACCACTTCGTCGTCACATCGCGTTTTCACCTCTCAAATCACAGCTTCTACTGTATCTTCTGCTTCGTCTTCTCCATTAGCAGGAAACTCCTTATATGGCTTGCGATCTCTGCTCAAAGTAATTTCTTCTTTCATTTCTCTTCATTTTCGAATTCAATTGATAAATTTGATCACGATTTATGTTAACTATACTGGGTTTGAGCTCGTGATTTGGGTCTCATTAGAAAGTTCTGAGATTTCTCTAGTCTGATTCGATAAAAATGTGAGCTTGATCAAGATTATGTCTTTGTAGGGTCAAAATGCTTCATTGTTTAGGAATGTGTCAACTGTAGCGGCGATTAGCTCAGAGAGTAAAGAGGGTTTGAAGCTGCTTGTCTCTGGAGGACCTCAAGCTCGGAAATGGGTCGGAATGTGGCTTTTTGGTTCGGCGGCTTGGGTTTTCAGCATGGTGGTACTAGGCGGTGTAACCCGATTAACTCGATCTGGTTTATCGATGACTGATTGGAAATTCACAGGTGAATTCCCTCCTCTATCAGATGAAGCATGGGCTAAGGAGTTTGAGAAATATAAGCAATCTCCTGAATATAAACGGTTGGTTAAGCAATTCAGCTAGCTGTTGCTTGCAATTGCATTGCATTTTATGTGTTTTGGACGAACTCTTGATCTTGAAAACGCTATTGTGTGTTTGTAGTGTGAACAAAGGGATGAATCTTGAAGATTTTAAGTTCATATATTGGATGGAGTATGCTCATCGGATGTGGGGAAGAGGATTGGGAATCATGTTTGCTTTGCCGTTTTCGTATTTTCTGCGTAAAGGGTATATTACTCTACGTCTTGGAGTTAAACTCTCTGGTCTATTTGCACTTGGTGCTGGACAAGGTTTCATTGGTTGGTGGATGGTTAAAAGTGGTTTAGAGGTAAGCATTTATGAAATGTCGAAGATCATGATCTTATTGGATGTTGTTACCTTCAAATATTGTGTAACCAGTAATCAGTTTGGTCCTGTAGGAGCCGCCTTCTGAATATTCTCAACCGAGGGTAAGCCCATACCGTCTTGCAGCTCACCTGACCTCTGCTTTTGCTATATATTGTGGACTTTTCTGGACCGCTCTCTCTGTTGTTATGCCCGAACCACCAGCTGAGTCATTGGCTTGGGTACGTGGAGCGGCTAAAGTGAAAAGGCTTGCATTACCAGTAAGCTTGATTGTTGGTATCACTGCGATTTCAGGAGCCTTTGTTGCTGGAAATGATGCTGTAAGCAAACTTAGAAACTTTGATATTAGCTTTATCCTTTTAGTTACAGAAAGAAATGTTAAAAGCATTTAGATCTATCTGCTTGTGAATTACAGGGTCGTGCATTCAACACATTCCCGAAAATGGGCGATACATGGATCCCAGATAATATATTTGAGATGAAACCACTTATTCGCAACTTTTTCGAGAACACGGCAACTGTTCAGGTACACCACTAAAACAAAGATTTCTCCTTTTGCTTCAAAAGTCCCCAAAAAAAAGAGACTAAAATTTTATTCAATATTTCAGCTCGATCATCGCCTTCTCGCAACAACAACGCTTATCGCTATTGGAACAATGTGGTGGTTCACAAGGAGGCTAGACATACATCCAGCCGTTAAAGCTTTAATCGGAAGCACCGTCGGAATGACTGCTGTTCAGGTAAATCAACTTTGTCCTCAACAGAAACTTTTGCATTTTCATGGAAACTAAAATCAAAACAAGTGATGGGTTTTTGTTTTGTTTTGCAGGTGACATTAGGTGTATCAACTCTTCTGAGTTATGTTCCGGTTTCATTAGGTAGTGCACACCAAGCAGGAGCTTTAACACTTCTCACTTTGATGCTGCTTCTTAATCACACTCTTCGGAAACCATCACCTTCTCTTCTCAAATCTCTTCCACAAATCGCAAAGTCAAATTTCAGCTAAGAACTCTTCACCAAAATCCTTCCCTTTTTCTTCATTTATCTACTAAAGAGAAAGAATACGATTCTTTTGCTCACGTTATTATAATTATACTTGCCAGTTTTCATCCAATTATGCGTTAATGATGTTTGTATTATCAGTCCTAGATTCGATAAAATAAAGTACGAAAACAATTAACAAAAGTTTCATATAAATCCCAGAATTCTGAGGATTTTTAACTTTTTTTTATCTGTGTATTATTGATTCAGTTTGTCAGTCTAAAACTTCTTATACCAATCGGTTTCAAT